AAAATGAACCGTTTCTTTTGGAAAACCTGAAAATAAGGGTTGACACACACATGTCACGCTGATGAAAAAAAATTAAAAGAAAAAAAAATGATATTTAAAGTAAAAATTGATTCCAAATATTGACTCAACTACCCGGTAGTCATATGTGAAATTAAGTTCACAAATTAAGAGAATATTACATTTTACTGTGTTATGAACATAAGTTTATGGTACAAATATGGAAATATGTTACATATGATTTATTTAATTGTGCTCATCTGTGAAAATGATACAATTATTCAAAAATTTTTGTTTAAACTTGATACACTGACTCATAGTCACCCCTACTTTAGATAAATTCAACACAGCTGGAAAGATAATACTTTTTGCTTTGTAGGCTTGTTTCAAATCAAACTTAATATCAAAGAAAATCTAAATTGTGGTGACTGAAATTCAAATCAGTTAATAGATCAAAACATACTTTTATAGAGAGACAATATAAAAATTGACTGAAAAACACCTGATGTAAAAACTTTATCGATGAAAGGATAGATATATAGCGAATTTAAAAAATATCCATTTTGTCAGTTTACATAGTGACTTCAGTACTCAGTTTAGCCACCTCATCTGCATAAGAAAATGACCATCACAAACTCGGGAGGGGAGCTGACAGAGCGGTTTTGAACATTATTTGCTATATGATTTGATTTTTGTCGTATTTCATTTTTCGGTAATAATGAATTAGTTATAGTAAACGTGACGTGATCTTTCTGGAAATAAATATGACATTAACGGAACTTACCTGGTCTATCAACTAGACACTTTGTATTATTTGAGGTAATAGTAGCTTCCGTTGAAAACGATTGATGCACACACTCGACATTAAAGATATACAGAGATATACAGAGACAATAGCAGTACCAACTGTTTATGATCTTCATGGTGGCAATCACAATAGAAAACTTGGAAGTTGGAAGGCAAATTTTAAACGTCCATCACCCATGCTACAGTACTTGTTCTGACTGGCTACCGGAAACTTCGTTCACTTCAAGCATACCTCTTTAACGTTTGACGTAACAAAGTTGACCTATCGCCCATATGAAGAGAGTATCATCAATCACGCGATGATCTACGCCTATTTCATACTGACCTCAGTGGAACATGCCAGTAAAAATGACTGAGTGATACTTGACTTTGAACCTGGACTGCTGATGAAATGTAAACAGTAGTTCTGATTATAATCTTGGGCTGCTAAACGGTTTACAAACATGGCCCACAGTGCATTGCATAAAATATATTTAGAAATATTCATATTCCACTCTGGAGTATCACAGCCACACCTACTTGACTGTCCATAGCAACCTGTTATCTATAACTAAAATAGAGTATTATTAAATAAATATTCACTATGTTTAAATTTAGCGGGTATAGATAATACTGCAGGGATTATTCCCTATATTTTAAATTAACAGGTTGAACGAAATATTAATGCAATCTTTGGTTAACTTTGTATATACTAGCTCACTAGGTTTTGATTTAGTACGGTAAATTTATATTTCAGCAAAAAATGAAAAAAAAAGTGAAAATAAAATGCCTGTAATCAATGAGATCATCTTGACTCAACCCTGGGCTTTGTTAGTTACCAGGGTATATCAGTGTTCCTCTATCTGATAGAGGGACTGTGGGTATATGTACCAATTAAATTGTGTGTACTGCCTATAGGTATCTGTTTGTACGCAAAAGCCTATGTGTGATCATGGAGGTAATAAGAATTACCTCCATGGTGTGATGAAACATCAGAACAAAATGCCCTTTAAACTCAACACAGCATTACTGTGTCAAAACAAACAAAAAATAAATAATCAAAGAAAGCTTAGAAAGAAATAGAAATTAGGTGATTAATAAGCATAAATATTTACCAAAAACTAATTGGGTCTCTGCATAGTCCTAGGTTCATTGAAATGTGATGATGAATACTCTATAAAAGTTTTAATAAAATCCAATTAGTAATTCTTTATATATCAGTGGAACATTCATGGAAAAAATTAACTAATTATGCTAATAAGGTGATTAATATGCACAAATATTTACCCCAAAACTAATCAGGTCTCTGCACAGTCTTTAAGTAACTATGTACCAAGTTTCATTGAAATGTGATGATTACTACTTGAAATATCAAAAGCTGAAAATTAATTAATTATGCAAATTAGGTAATTAATATGTACTGATATTACCCTAAAAACTATCAGGTCTGTGCAGTGTCATATGACATCTATGCACCAAGTTTCATTGAAATGTGATGATTACTACTTAAAATATCAAAAGCTGAAAATGAATTAATTATGCAAATTAGGTAATTAATATGTACTGATATTACCCTAAAAACTATCAGGTCTGTGCAGTGTCATATGACATCTATGCACCAAGTTTCATTGAAATGTGATGATTACTACTTGAAATATCAAAAGCTGAAAATGAATTAATTATGCAAATTAGGTAATTAATATGTACTGATATTACCCTAAAAACTATCAGGTCTGTGCAGTGTCATATGACATCTATGCACCAAGTTTCATTGAAATGTGATGATTACTACTTGAAATATCAAAAGCTGAAAATGAATTAATTATGCAAATTAGGTAACTAATATTTACTGATATTACTCTAAAAACTATCAGGTCTATGCAGTGTCCTATGACATCTATGTACCAAGTTTTATTGAAATGTGATGATTACTACTTAAAATATCAAAAGCTGAAAATTAATTAATTATGCAAATTAGCTAATTAATATATACTGACATTACCCTAAATCTATCAGGTCTGTGCAGTGTCCTATGACATCTATGTACCAAGTTTCACTGAAATGTGACAATTACTACAGAAATATCAAAAGCTGAAAATGAATTAATTATGCTAATTAGGTAATTAATATCTACTGATATTACCCTAAAAACTATCAGGTCTGTGCAGTGTCCTATGATATCTATGTACCAAGTTTTATTGAAATGTGATGATTAGTACTTGAGATATCAGTGGAAAAGCCAAAAATTGATTAATCAATATGCAAATTAGGTAATTGATATTGCACAGATTTTTACCCAAAACTAATCAAATCTTCGCATTAGTTCAGAGCATCTATGTACCAAGTTTCGTAAAAATCCAATGAGTGGTTCTTTAGATATCAGTGGAACAATCATGGAACAGCTAAAAATCAGCTAATTATCATGCAAATTAAATAATTAATATGCATGGATTTTTACCAAAACTTAATCAAATCTGCGCATTGGCCCATAGCATCTATGCACCAAGTTTCATCAAAAATCAATGTATGGTTCTTGAGATATCAGTGGAACAGACACATACACAGACACACAAACTAACTGCAAAGACTCCCTTTTTGTGCTTCGCACACAAGAGTCAAAAAGGTATAATTGGCCTATGCTACAGGTAGAATATTATGCAGTAATTATGTTCTATCAAATATATTACCACAGTCCCATGATAAGAGAGAGTGTGATATTAAAAAGTGTGTAAATATCCAAGTGAACAAAGAAATCTGGCTCAATATAGGCTCAATTTTTTTAATTGCCATATTTTGTTTAAATTCTTGTTTACCAACATCTATTTTTTCAAGTTTATTTGCCATGTTTTCATACATCATTTCTTGGTCATTCTTGTCACCAGAGCTTACTTTCGTTTTGAGACTCTACCAAAAGATGTAGGTATGCCGTAAAGAAGCCATGGTTGTGATGATGTTCTATATGTATGTCACCAAGATATAATAATAATAAATTTATTGCTATCTCAGAAATAGTTTCTATTGGTTGACAGCTATAAAATAAGTACAATATAGTACTTGACAGATTCTATCGTTACAACTAAAAGAATAATTAAAAAACTGATGTAAAAGTGTTTTTTGAGATACGCTTTCAATCAGAAACGGGTGATCATAGCAAGTTTTCAAATTCATGGAGAATGCAGAGCATGTTGATATATCACTCTAGTACCATTGTACAAAATTGAGCATAATGTTTTTAATAACTTTTTCCAGAACTCACTCCTGCAGGAAAATAGTAGTGCCTAAACTGGTTGTCGATTGAATTGTTTTACGATAGACACGATCTTTGAGGCTTTATTAGACTAACCTATTTGTGGAAATTCTATCTTAAATCGAGGTCCTATGCACAATGAGGATTATTACTGTCAAGAAATCAATGAAATGATTTCTAATCTATTCGTAAAAGAGACGTAGTTGCTTCAACAATAACCTAGGAATGACAGACCTTGAAATACCGGTATTCCACCAACTTGAAGATCAGACAGCGCCCTCGCATGCCAATCACTCCCTCTGATTTTTGAAATATTTTTAAATGTCCATAAAACAAATTCATACATGCAACCCAGTGTATGGCATGAACATATTTAAAAAAGAACGGCACATAAAACCAAAAACTATAAGAAAACAAATTATGGAAATTGAAAATATCGCCGTAACGAAAGACATTCAATACTTCTTTAGCATATGCAAGATAATGAAGATTTGATAAAATGTCGTCAAAGAAATGGATGATGAAATAATACAGTTACCATGAATTCCAGAATGAATTAACAAATTTACTCTGAACAATTTTTTGCTCGTTTTTCATAAGCAGCATTTTAAGGTTTTACATTTTACATGTAAAAAATGGAGTCTATGCATACATCGGATTTTTACAAAGCCGGTATCAATCGTTTGGCTCTGCAGGCTCGGGGTTCAGTGCTATGCGATACAGTAAACAGCAACTTCTAAAATTTTCTTTTGCCGAACTATAAGTAATTAAAGTAATTAGCTCCATGTCTAACGTTGACGAACATGTCAATATTTGTTTTGAACTAGACTGGCCAAGCCACAGTTCATTTCAACGCCAGAGATTTTACAAATTATCATAATAAATTTTCCATAGGCCTGTCAAGTTTTGAACCAGGCGCTACGAATGATAATTGTGTACTACGTACAAACTTGTGCACTAAAATTGATGACGTTGACATTTCTGAAGATATGGCGGGAATGAATCACATGAGCTCTTGTTGATACTTGTAGGACGAAAATAGCCTTTGTTTGTATGTTATAGCTGACTCAGCAAAGACTTCCAGTATTAAAGTAACGTTTGCATTTTGAAGATCAGTGCAGCTTTTGGACAACACTACGTTTACTATGCCCCCTAGACGCAGAAAGGCAGGTAAGTCGACAGTTGTCAAAACACAAAATCATGAAATTGTATACACGTGTCTTAGTTACGCTGCAGATTTTACTTTCACTTTTCGATAATATACGACACTGACAGTCTTCTGCTGCACCGTACCAATCTCAGACAATTTCAGGGCTCCGGCATTCGCGTTACGACCTTGCTTCTTTTGATATTTGTCTGCTGTCGTTGTTTTTGTTTTTCTTCACACAAAACTTCAATAGTGACGCTAACTAGCGGCCTGACGTCAGAATGGCTCTTTGACCTACCCCGAATATATGAGGCTGTGCAAAACAGTTTATTATCAATAATATGTTGACATTATTACGGGAGTACAAAATTGTCAATCTGCATTTGAAATACCATTTTGTGACACTTATTTTATCACGGTATTTTTTTCTGCATTTTTTACAGTAATTAATCGAAAGTTCCACAAAACAGGTTATTATGTAATACCCTCCCCCAGCGCACATTTAAAGGCTGGTCTAGTGGCTGCACTCAGGATTTATCTTTTGCTGTTCATTGATGTTTAATTGTTAAAGGCAATGTCTAGCATTATAATACTAATATAAACTAACAAACAAGTCAGTCACTACTGAACCTTTGATCAGTGCACAACCACCCAAAATGCTCATCAAGGTTACTTGTTCGTAAATATGTGACATCAGAAAAATGAAACAGTAAGTTACTTCAAAAACAGAGCAAAATGTGAAATTCTTAATTCCTCTGCCGGTGGATAGTAGATTCGTCCCAAGTTGATTTGTTTGATTTTTTATGTTGGCACGATACTAACTCCCACAATATGTGCAACAAGATCTGAATAACAAACAGTATCTAATTGTGGTCATGCACTCATCAGGCATAAGACAGCACCCCGAAAACTGAACCAAAGTTGTTTATTGTTTCACCATTGGCAATATGTTAATCTGTCAATTGTCAAATCAAGTTATTCTTATTTCAAGATTAATGTTCTGAAAAGTGGTAAACACAGTAAAAGTTGTTTATTTCTTAATATTTGGGAATACTATACACGTAAATATTGTTGTAACAATGTAAGGACATGGACATGTTAAGCTTTCCGGTTCTATTTTAAATGCAGTGTGATTGTCTTGTTACCAATATATAAAAGTAATCTTGAATACAGACAACATTATTCTTTCTAGTTTGTAAAAAAAAAAAAATAACACGGCAAGCGAATCACGTTTCAGTTCAATCTCGTTAAAATCTGATGTATTGCACGGTGTGAATTTATTATATTTTTACTATATACTTTAATTATTTTGTAATTGTTTTCATTATTATTACGTACATCTTATTTTGCGAGCCTTCAAGATTACTAAAATTAGAATTCAAATTATAATAAAGTAAAATTAAAGCAATTAAAAAATAATTTTTAAAAATATGATAAAAAAATTTGATCTTATTTTAATCAATTTGTTTTCAGTCAAGACTCTACAAAGTGAGAACAAATTTATCAATTACTGATTGCCTCACACAAGTATTTGCAATTATGATTTACATGTTTGATGTTCAGATACATTGATGAAGTATGTTGAAATTAAAAATTTAATTTAGCAAAATAAATTACCAAATATTATTTGAAATAAAATATAAATTCTTGGTTTTACAAACTCTGACAGCAATTTTGTTGACATTAGCAACTTGGAACTACCCCATTTGGTCGGCTGGTAAAAACTGGTATCTTTATTCACCTGCTCACAGGAACAGGCACTTTGTTCATTTACTTTTCCCAGCTAAAATATGACTGTCTGGAACAAGTGGACAGGCCTTAATGTCGATCCCTGTTGTCTCATTGAACTTGAACTACCAACCATTCTGCAACATTTCTGGTTTTAATGTGAACTCAACTCAAAAGCCCCAGGTTAATTATATTCGCCCATGTAACCAAAAAAACATATCGCATTTAAGCTTGGGTATGCCCCAAGTTGATTATATACACTTTAAGAGCTACCCATGTGACTCACCAAAACATACCACGAACATACTGGGAAATGTTCTGAAAGCACACATTGCCTTCATTGCCATTCACCATTCCAACAAAATTGACAATTATTTGCACACCAACACAGAAATCAACTTCACCCTGCACTAGATCATAAAGCTTACCAAAGGCAATGGGACAAATGTGTATTGGGACAGATCAACTTTTGAAATGAATGTGAATTGGAATGAATTGACTGAGAATCTCTGCCTGTCATGGTGTTAAGCTCAAGCATGAACAAAATTCCCATTTTAATAGTGACAGAAAAATAAAATTCAGTTTTCAAATACACCCAAACTATATCATTTTGCACTGAAATGCTCTATCAGAATTGTGAATGAATGTACGTACTTGGCATTATGTGTTTAAAAATTATAGAAGTTTATAGTTGTTGGAAGGCAAATTCAAAGTGACGTTAATGGCCACTTGTCATTTTGAAGTTTTTGCACAGTTATCTAGAGAATACACATGATGGTCTGCTTAATTTTATATTTTTCTTTTTTCTTTTTTCTTGTATGTATGTATGCCATAATGTGAATATTTTTTTAATGTACTGTATCTGTGAACATATCCCCCACTACTGTACTGCATGTGTACAGAATGGTGTTAGTTTGTTGCTGTTGCTGACTTGGCAGTGAATGACTTGTTCATGCTATTACATGTATAATGTTGGACATTGTCTTAAAAAGTATATTTGTTCCATGAAATGACATGAGTCATTGATCTATTCCACACTGAATCTCATAAAACAAAAGCAAAATCTCATAAAACAAATCTAAATGATGGAGAAAACTGAAATAATTACTGATTTATTGCAGCAAGTGCAGCGGATACTGCAACAGAAGCTAAGAAACCAAAGACTGAGTTGGTGTTGTCATGGGAATGGGAAGGTGATGCGGGAAAATGGACTGCTTATGATGAAGATCAAATCAAAGAAATTAATGACACCTTTGATGAAGATAAAAATAAAATTGAATTTATTGTGGGTCCTACCAAATTCAATGTTTTGTTGGATAAAATGGTTCAGAAAAATGCAAAAACAGGCTGGGAAAGACGGTTAAGATGTCTTATTAAAGATGACAATGATTGTGAGTATAGTATTTGATTACTACATGTACTGTAAAAGCACTTATTTTCATTGGTATTTGCATGCACCTAGGTGAATGACAAAGAACAAATTTATTCCTCTAAGTACAATCTGGAGGTACTAAAATGTATTAAAGATATTTTTCTAATAGTTTCAATACTGTATTTTCCTCTATTAGTAGTGCAAATGCTTGTATAAATTTATGTATTTATGGTCGAAAAATGTTTATGTTATATGCACTTCTATATGAAATGCATTTCATATGAAATTATTATTTAATCATATTCTCATGGATTTAATTCTACTATTTTGAATAATATTTACTGGATTTTATTTGTTCTCATTGATTTCATTTAGTAGATTTCATTTGTCACAATCCAGTGTATAATAATACTGTACTTGGCACCCAATCCTGTTTTTAGGGGGGTGGGCACTTAATCAAGCACCCCACTCAAAACTCTGTGCCAAATTAGGGGAAATACCAGTCTTTTTTGGTGGAAATAAAATTGCAAAATGAGTTGCATTTCCACAACAGTTTTACATTGACAAAACAGAAATGATTACAAAAAATATGCATATTTTGTTACAATATTATTTACATACCATCAGAATTTACAGTGTGAAATTATTACGGTTTGTTGGAAAATGGTCAAAGTCAAGAGATTCATCATTCTCTTTGTTGAAACCCTTTAAAGTGGACCCTTATGGTATATTTACAGTATTACCTTTAATTTGATTGGAAAAACTTTGTTTTCTCACAGATTTTGTGTGGCAATGGCAAGATGAAAAAAATAAGTGGAACCCGTATAATGTAAAGAATACAGTTGTCATAGAAGCCAGTCATAAGGCAGGAAGTGATAATGTTGGTATTGAGGCACTCCGCAGAACATACACAATTGATCTTAAAAAAATGGAACAAATAAATGATGATACTGATGTAACAAGAAAAATTGAAAGATTACAAGTTGGTAAGGGACG